AAAGCAGACTCCCTGCCGAGCAGGGAGCCCGATGCGGGACTCGATCCCGGGACTCCAGGATCATGACCTGAGCCGAAGGCAGTCGCTCAACCAACTGACCCACCCAGGCGCCCCTGAAAAATTTTTTTAATGCAGTAAAATACAACATTTACTGTCTTAAACTTTTTTTTTTTTTTAATTAAACTCTATTCCCAATGTGGGGCTCAGACTCACAACCCTGAGATCAAGAGTCACGTGCTGTACTGACTGAGCCAGTCAGGAGCCCCAATCATCTTAAACAGTTTTAATTGTACACTTCAGTGGTGTTAAATATATTCACATTGTTTTGTAAAAAACTCTAGAACTTTTTCATCTTGCAGAGTTGAAACTCTATACCCATTAAACATGTTGGTAGCACTATTATTATTATTTTTCACTTTCTGTTATGGAAAATGTCAAATATAGTCCAAAGTAGAAATAGTGGTATAATGAATCCCCATGTACCCATCACTTAGTTTCAGTAATTATAAATTCATGATCAGTTATGTTTCATTTATAGTTCTGCACATTCTCTCCAAACCGTGCTATTTGAAGCAACTCCCAGATACCACATCATTTCATGCCTAAATATTTCAGTCTATATGTATAAAGGAAAATAACCTAAAAAAGCCATTATTCTTTATTACACCTGAAAATAATACAACATTTTTATAATACAAAATATCCTTTTAGTGTCCATATTTCCCTGACTGATAAATATATCATGTGCATTCTTGATCTTAGATATGAAATCCTAGAATGTTGTGAGAGGAAGAAAAACAAATAAAAATTCAGTCGTGAGATGAGGTTTGCCCCCATTCTTTGTGTGTCAACTTTTTTGGCTTCTCAAACTTTGGGAGACTCTCCTTCCATTTGTTAGCAAATTCTACCAAAAGGAAAAAGATCCTTGTTTTGGATAACATACCTGTTGTTACTGTAGTTCTGGTACTACTAATTTATTTAGAGGTTTATGTAAAGGTCAGTGGAAACGTTGTAGAAATTAACCTGTGCCCTTTGGAGGAAAGACTGTTGACATGCCTTTTATTTTTCACTTGCCTCCTTAGGCTAGTAATAGGAGTTCTTCTCGTGAACAGGAGCTGACCTTTAGGTCTTATGTGCTGGTTGATTCAATCTGCAAAAATCTTCAGACGCTGGCTATGGCAGTGGCTTCTCAGAATGCTGTGTTGTTGGAAGGACCAATAGGATGTGGCAAAACTTCCTTAGTTGAACACTTAGGTGCAATGACAGGTAGACGGAAACCCCCTCAACTTCTTAAAGTCCAGCTTGGAGATCAGACTGACAGTAAGGTAATTAAGAAACAGCAAATTTTGGTGGGTTCGCATGCTTATAAATGTTTGCATTAAAGTATTCTTTTTGCTAAGGGAAAATGAGAATAGTATTGGTCTTCCTCATAACTGATGGAACCATGGTGTAAAAACATCAGGTGCCTGCTTATATCCATATAGAAGTTTAACAGAATTAATCAAAGGCTGTGGCATTGGCATCTTAGATGTGTGGTTTCAGTAATTACTTTATCCTGTTCCTGCAGATGCTGTTGGGAATGTATCGCTGCACAGATGTCCCAGGAGAGTTTGTGTGGCAACCTGGTACTCTGACACAGGCAGCCACAAAGGGACACTGGATCCTTCTGGAGGATATTGACTATGCCCCTTTAGATGTGGTATGTCATTTCACTAATTATTTGCTGATTTCCTGTCTTTTTTTTTTCCCCTAAAGATTTTATTTGTTTATTTGAGCAGGAGAGAGTACTGGGGAGCGGGAGGGCACAGGGAGAGTGAGAAGCAGACTCCCCGCTGAGCAGGGAGCCCAGGGAGCCCTATAGGGGCTTGATCCCAGGACCCTAGGATCATGATCTGAGCCGAAGGCAGGGGCTTAACCGACTGAGCCACCCAGGTGCCCCTGATTTCCTAGCTTTGAAGAGCATTTTGTTAATAGTAATTTGGGGAGATGATTTAAATAACATAGGTGTTTGGGGTGCCTGGGTGGCTCAGTGATCCTAGGGTCCTGGGTTTGAGCCCCGCGTCGGGAGTCTACTTCTCTCTGTCCCTCTGCCCCTCCCCTCTGCTCATGCTCTCTCTCTTTCTCACTCAAATAAATAAAATCTTTAAAAAAAATAAATAACTTAGGTGTCTGATTAGAGATGATATGTTTTGCGAGAAGCTCATTCATGATTACCTACCTATCTGGTTTGAGGTATGATTACTTAGCTGGTTTTTTGTTTGATAGAAAATTGATAAAGTTCTGCTGGTACTGTTTCATTGAGTACAGTAGCCCCCCTTTATCTGCCGTTCAATTACCCATGGTTACTCGTGGTCTTGAAGCAGATGATTGTCCTGATGTATCATCAGAAGGTCAGTAGTAGCCTAACACTACATCACAATGCTTCAGCCATTTGCCTCACTTTATCTTGTCATGTAGGCATTTTATCATCTCACATCTCCACAGGGAGGGTGAGTACAGTACAATAAGATACTTTGAGAAAGAGACCACATTCACGTAACTTCTATCATAGTATATTGTTACAGTTATTCTGTTTTATTATTTATTCTTTTTAATCTCTTACCTTGCCAATTTATAAGGTAAACTTTATCATAGGTGTATATGTATAGGAAAAAGCATAGTATATATAGATTTCTGTGTTATCCACAGTTACAGACATCCACTGGGGGTCTTGGAACGTACCTCATGTGGATAAGGGGGAACTACTATAGTTGGATATGTGATCAGTTTCATAACCTTTCTAAGAATAGGTTAACATCTTATCCATGTTACAGATACATTGAGAACTCTGAGAGCCTGCTTCCCAGCTATGGCATCTGTAGAACAGCAGGCTGAGGACAGATGAAGGAAGAGAGGATATAATAAGAGATGTTTGTCTTTGTTTCATTATACATTCAGTATATTTTCGTTTTGATTATTTTTCTATGTATATCAAAATAGCATGCAAGCAGTCCATGTTTCCTCTATATTCTATAAAGTATGACAAAAAAATGTATTGCAGAATGAAAATTTTTTTCCTTTGGGCAGATTTTCCTGAGATTGGTTTTAATTTTTTTTTTTTTTTTTTACCATGAACCCTAAAGTACCTGCATAATGACTTTTCCCTCTTGGATGAGACTAATGAGAGAGTGTGTGTGTAGGTTTAGAGAAATATGAAGGGGAAGGAGTGGCTATAAATACATGTGTATTGTGATGATTTTAGAATCTGACGAAGTAAAGATGTAATGGGGTTATTGGCCCAGACAGGACCTCCCAGTTTGATTACCATGTTCTAGGGTTCCCCCTGACCCCACGCACTTTTTTTGAGTCTAGTTGACATATCATTTCTAGGGTCATAATGCTCAGTTTTATAGGGCTGGAAACCCAGTAATCATGTCTGGATTTTTAGTGTCTGGCTTTGTTCTAGTCCATAGTAGGCACTTAGTGAATGTTGAATGAATAAATCGTTCTGTTGGAATGTAAGTGGCTCAGACATTCCCATCTGCCTTTTGATCCCAGTTCATGCTGTGAATACATATATAAGGATGTGCTCATCGTTTGGAGAGAGGGTATTTTGTTTGTTTGTTTTTTGTTACTTCTTCCTTAATAGTTTTATCAGTGGGGTTTTGTGGTTTAGGTTTCCGTGCTGATCCCTCTCTTGGAGAATGGAGAGCTCTTGATTCCTGGCCGAGGTGACTGTCTGAAAGTGGCTCCTGGATTTCAGTTCTTTGCAACTAGGAGGTATGTCCTATTAACCTTCCCACTATGGTGCCTTTTCCTTCTAAGTCCCCAGACTAGAGTACTGAGTCCAAAAGTCCTAGAGTAGAGTTTTCTGGGCCCACTTAAAGCAAGATCAGTTGGAACTGATGACAGATCCAATGTTTTCATTCCTATTTTATTTTTTTATTTTTTAAAAGATCTGGGTCCTATTTCAGGACTCTATTTTGTTCCATTGTTCATTTGTCTATCTTTACACCAGTATCAGACTATCTTGATTACTGTAGCTTTTTTAGATTTAAGTAAGCTCTGTGCCCAAAATGGGGCTTGAACTCACGATCCTGAGATTAAGAGTTGCATGTTCTATCGACTGAGCCAGCCAGATGCCCCTTCATTCCTATTTTATTTTATTTAAAGATTTATGTATTTATTTATTTTATTTTTAAAGAACTATTTGAGAGAGAGAGAGAGCGCACGAGTGGCAGGGGCAGAGAGAGAGAGAGAATCCTAAGCAGACTCCACACTGAACATGGACCCCCAACGCAGGGCTCCATCCCTTTACCCTGAGGTCATGACCTGAGCCAAACCAAGAGTTGGCTGCTTAATGGACTGCACCAACCAGGCACCCCAAGATTTATTTATCTTAGAAAGCGTGTGTGCATGAGCAGGAGGAGGGGCAAAGGGAGAGGGAAAGAAAGAATCCTCAAGCAAATTCCTTGCCGAGCGTGTTGCCCTACATGGGGCTGGATCCCAGGACCCTGAACTCATGACCCGAGGTGAAATCAGGAGCCGGCCACTTAACCGACTGAGCTGCCCAGGCGCTCCCCTTCATTCCTATTTTAAATTGAATATAAGCATCGACAAAGGAATAAAACCTAAGCAAACTTAGTATATGTCCATGTCTATATTTTATAATAACATGAATTTTCCATCGTAGAAAGGTGTCAGGCAAATCTGAATTCAGTTCTTGGCTCTGCCATTTGTAGTCATAGTTGAGTGATCAGGGGACAGTACTCTTGCTTTTTATGCATAAGAAGAAAAGTAGCGTACCATTTCCTCAGAAAGTTGTGAGCATCACATTAAGTGGCCTAGGTGTAAGCTTGTGGCTTGGCCAGAGTATGTGTTTAATGAATGTTCCTTCTTGAAATTTTTAATAATTTTGAGTACTGTCACTTTTGGTAATAGGCACTGAACTTATTTTTAAGGCTATGGGCCTTGGATTATGTTTTCTCTTTCCTGAAGTTGTGTTTTGAGGAAGAGAAATATGCTGTTAAGATCAAAACACCTAATATAATCATTTACAGTGATTAGAAGATAACTTGGTTAAAGCTCTATTATACACCCTTAGGAAAAGAGTCAGACTTGGGTTAACTGGCAGCCTTTCATTTATCATCTGCCCTGTGAGCCCAACGTACTGGTATCTGGCACCAGAAGGGGTTGTGAGTGTTATTCATATATGAGATAATGTCTAGCAAGGGCTACCCAGAGGCATTATTAAAGGTTAAAATTGGGAGTTTTGTGTAATTCTTTTTTTAAATTTTGAAATATAGACTCTTGAGCTGTGGAGGAAATTGGTATCGACCTCTAAATAGTCATGCTACTCTGCTAGACAAATATTGGATGAAAATTCACATGGATAACATGGATAAGACAGAACTGAATGAGGTATGTGGTTATCAGTGGGAAAGTATTGATGCTTTTCTTTTTTACTTTTTATTATTAAAAGTTCCAGGTATACATGTAAATAGAGGAAATAGTGTAATGAATCACCAAAATATTCATCAGCCTAAATTTAACAGTTAATGTACTAACATTTTACTGCATTAACTTCATCTAGTATTTTTTATTTGCCAATATATTTGAAAGCAAACCCAATAACATTCCATCCTTGAAACTTTAATGCATCTCCAAAAATTTAAGGGCCTTTTCATATATAATCACAATAACTTTGTTATACCTAATAAAATGAACAATAATGCCTCAATACCATTTAATTCTCAGACTATATTCAGGTTTCCTCAATTGTTTCCAAAGATCCTTTTTTTAAAAAATTTACTAAGTTGTTTTGTAACTAATGTCTTTCACATTCAACAGCACGTTTTGTTCTGGGTATTAATGAAAATTGAGATGAATTATTTTTTAGATTTTCTACATTGATTCACTTTGTGGTATCGCTGGTTATCCTCAGACATTAAGAGGTGTACCTTTCTTTACCTTGCTAACCCCCACTTTCCCCTTATATCTATCCCCTCACTTGGAAAGCTTCCCATTCTGCAACATTTCATCTTGGAGCATAGCAAATAATGCCATCAGTGATTATACAGGCATGGGAGGGATGCTTTGCTCTTTCTTCGTGTAAGTTTTTAGATAAATAAGTGACACAAGACAACCTTATCAAATTTTTTATCCAGCATTTTAAGTGTTATAAGCAGAGGGGTTTTCAGGGTGTCTAGTTCACTGTATTACTGGAAAAAGCTTGATCATGCAATCTCTCAGAAGCCTTTTCTTACCAGTGTGATTTTATAAGTTTGCAGCCTATTTTGGACTTAGGAGTTTTGTATCTCACTCTAGTTCCCAGTTGTCTATTTCTTTGTCTGTCTATCCCCATTTTGCTGCCCTCAACAATAGCTCCTCCAGTAACTTGTTCACCGTTTTGTCTTCAGGATCCATTCCGCCTGGCACTTTGTGTTTGTTGTATTGCTGTGCCATTGTGCAGCTCTTTGTTTTGCAATTGTAGAAATTTCAGTGTTTAGTATTCCTTCCTAAATTGCCATTCTGTTCTTTAAAGAAGAGGTCCTAAGTTCACATTTAGGTGTGATTTGTTGGGGATTGAAAGGATGAGAACAACATTGACTGCTACTTTTTTTCATCTTTCCATTCCTGTCATGAACAACTGTGAGTCATTCTGCTCACAGCAAGCACAATAGGAGAATTCACCCCCTCACTTAAATGATGTATATCATATTTAGATAGTTTACCTTGAAGAGTTCCCTTTTTCTTAAGCTTCTGGACTTACTAATAAATTCTAATAACACTCTCCTGAATAAGTGACTCGTGGATAAAATTCTTAGGTTCATTATTTAGGAAATAAAATAATCTCCTAAGCTGATCTCATGGGGAGCACAAGGAACTACATTTCTGTTGCTGCCAACTCCAGTCATCTTATGCCTAGAAAGATTGTGTTTGAATGGGGTGCCTGGATGGCTTAGTTGATTACGCATCAAACTCTTTTTTTTTTTTTAAGATTTTATTTATTTATTTGAGAGAGAGAATGAGATAGAGAGAGCATGAGAGGGGGGAGGGTCAGAGGGAGAAGCAGACTCCTGCCGAGCAGGGAGCCTGAGGCAGGACTCGATCCCGGGACTCAAGGATCATGACCTGAGCTGAAGGCTCAACCAACTGAGCCACCCAGGCGCCCTAAGCATGGAACTCTTGATCTCAGCTCAGGTCTTGCTCTCAGGGTCATGAGTTCAAGCCCTGTGTTGCGCTCTATGCTGAGTGTGGAGCCTACTTTAAAAAAAAAGAAAGATCAGGGTACTTGGGTGGCTCAGTCAGTTGGGCGTCTGTCTTTGGCTCAGGTCGTGATCCCAGGGTCCTGGGATAGAGTCCTGCGTGGGGCTCCTTGCTCAGCGGGGAGCCTGCTTCACCCTCTTCCAGGCTCCTCTTACATGTGCTTTAAAAAAAAAAAAAAAAAATCACTGTGTCTGCTGCTAAATTTTCTTTGTTTTTTTTTCCTCCCTCTGTCAGGTTCTTCAGAACAGATATCCCAGCCTCTTGTCAGTAACTGATCACCTGCTTGACATTTACATCCAGCTTACTGGAGAGAAACATCTCTTTCGCAGTGATAGTTCTATTACATGTGAACGGGCACCTGAGGAAGTTTCAGAAGCCAGAAGAGAAAACAAAAGACTAAGCCTTGAGGGAAGAGAATTGTCTCTAAGGTACTGGATTAAGCACTTTTGAGTTGATACTTAATTTATTTCTTTTTTTAAGTAGGTTCCACGCCTATCGTGGGGCTCGAACTCACGACCCCAAGATCAAGAGTCGCATGTTCCACCGACTGAGCCAGCTAGGCGCCCCTCAACTTAATAATTTAAAAGTTGCTTCCCTTAAAAGTTCTTAGCAGCTAGCACTGAATGATGAAGAGGTCCGGTTTTGAAATTAGACCTGTGGACTGCTTCATGGTGTTGGATCCTGTTTTCAGACCTTACAGTTAATGATTAGGTAATGTTATTTTAGCTTTAAAAAATAACTTTGGGGGCACCTGACTGGCTCAGTCAGTAGAACATCTGACTCTTAATCACAGAGTCATGAGTTGAAGCCCCATGTTGGATGTGGAGGCTACTTAAAAGAAACAAAGTAGGGAGGGAAGGAGGGAGGGAGGAGGGAAGGAAGGAAGAAAGGAAGGAAAGAAAATAACTTTAAAAGCCAAGATTGAGATTACTTACTGACGTAATTCTTTCACTAGCTTTTCTTTTGAGACAGTTGGGGTCTTAAATAAGACCCTTGGATTTTGCTGTATATAATAAGTTCTGTACCTTTACTTTCTTTTCTCGGTGGTTGATTTGCCCTTTGAGAAGTGAGCGTTAGGAATGGGCAACTCCCCTGAGAGTTAGTTGCACTGTTTATCTTTACAATGCCAGAGAAACAGAAAGACTTCATTGTTAGGTGTTCCCCAGACTTAAGTGGATTAAATTTAACTCTGATGCCTTTGATGTCTTTAGCCTGTGGTCTTTTATTTCCTTGCTTTTTTTTTTTTTTTAAGGGATCTACTGAATTGGTGTAATAGGATTGTCCATTGTTTTGACAGTCTGTCTTCATCAGCATCCTTAAATATTTTTCAAGAGGTAAGATAGAGTCTCCTTGTTTGTTTTCTTTCTACTCCGTAAGGCTGTTGATTTTCATTGTTATTTTCTGTCTCTTGGCTGCTATCAGAATTTTTCTTTTGTGTTTATTATTCCTAGCTAGTTAAAACTGAATTAATGTTGCCTTAAAACTAATTGGGCATAATAAATTATTTGGTTTTGAAACAGGTTACTACGAATTATAGTAAGCATTGTTTAGAGTAAAACAGACACTGAAATTAAAGATAAAACAAAAAGAAAATCTCCCAGGTGTTAATAATGTTGTAAAATATAAAATGTTTCTAAAATGTTTAGTATTAGGGGCACCTGGCTGGCTCAGTCGGTGGGGCATGCAACTCTTGATCTTGGGGTCATGAGTTCGAGCCCCATTTTGGGCATGGAGCCTACTTAAAAAAGTGCTCAGTATTTGTTTCTACGTATAATTTCATAGTCTATTTGATAGAGTTGTATTTGTCTGATCCCTCCACTCGCTTAGTAGGGTGTTTTGCTTTAGTCCAGATAAATTTATGTGGGGGTTACAAAGTATGGCCTTGTATGCTGGGCTTGGGCAAAAAATGTGTTGTGTGGGAGGGAAACCCTATTGAATTACAACTCTGCCATATTCAGTAAGAACAGGGAGAGATTTATTCCTGGTTGCTTAAAAATAAAAGTGGTACTGTCTGAAGATCTCTGGGCTCTTAAAACATTGACCAGTTTTGATTACAAAGTGTTCTGGATTCTAAGGGCATGTGGGTGGCTCAGTCGATTAAGCATTTGGCTCAGGTCATGATCTCAGGATTGTGAGATTGAGCCCCACATCAGGCTCCACCCTGGGCATGGAGCCTGCTTAAGATTCTCTCTCTTCCTCTCCCTCTGCTTCCCCCTCCTGTGTGCACATGTGTGTGCATTCTCTCTCTCTCTCTCAAAAAAATAAAAAATAAAGTGTTCTGGTTTCTGTCAGCTGGGATTGAGAAGAGTAGTGATCCAATTTGGCTTGCAGTCTCATTGTGTTTGGCAAAGTTACTTTGAGTAGAAAGAAACCACATTTGGAGTTCACACTTAAAGTGAGCTGAACCCTGAAATGCTGTGTGCCAGTCCTTGAATCTTTTTTTTTTTTTTTAAAGATTTTATTTATTTATTTGAGAGAGAATGAGAGAGAGCACATGAGAGGGGGGAGGGTCAGAGGGAGAAGCAGACTCCCTGCCGAGCAGGGAGCCCGATGCGGGACTCGATCCAGGGACTCCAGGATCATGACCTGAGCCGAAGGCAGTCGCTTAACCAACTGAGCCACCCAGGCGCCCCAGTCCTTGAATCTTATTCTTCACTCCCATGAACTTGCTTTCTCATTCTCCTAAATTTCTCATCTTTCTGAGAGATAACCTTGTTTTGTATTTTTGAAATAAAACTGTGGCATAACTTTCTGTCTGTAGATTTGCTGATTTTGGATATTTCATATAAGTGGAATCATACAATATGTGACCTTTGTATCTGACTTCTTTGACTCAGCATATTCTCGAGATTAATCATGTTATAGCATGAGTTAGTACTTCATTCTTTTTTAATGGCTGAATAACATTTCATTGTATTGATATACCACATTTTGTTTATCCACTTATTCATTGATGGATATTTGGTGGTTTTCACCTTTTGGCTATCATGAGTAATGCTACTCTGAACATTTGTGTTACAGGCATTTTATTAATATAGAAACAATATATATGTATATGTATATATGTTGAAAATGGGAAAATATAGGAAAGCAAAGTGGTAAAATAAAAATAGCCCCCATCTAGACATTCCCCAGCACTTTTAACACCTTGGTGTTTATCCCTCCAGACCTCGCTCTCCTTTGTTTTCTCTCCTCTCCTCTCCTCCCCTCTTTTCTTTTCTTTCTTGATTTTATTTTTAAGTAATCCCTACACCCAACATGGGGTTTGAGTTCATGACCCTGAGATCAAGAATCAAATGCTCTATCACCTGAGTCAGCCAGGTGCCCCCAGATCTTTTTCTATGCATATAAAGTTAAGAATGCTTTTACTGTATCAGGTTCCCCCCTTTATAAGCAAGCACTACCTTGTGGAAAAGATCAGGCCAATTTTGCAAAATGTTCCACTTTCTGGCTTTATCTGGTTGCTTCTTTGTTACTCTGACACCAACTGGTGTTCTGCAATTCAAAACACTTCTGATACTTACTACTTGGAGTTAGTGTAGACCCTACGGTTTCAAGGGCTCAGTCTTCCACAAGACTACCCCACTTTAGACTCCAGTTGCAAGCCTTGGAGGCCACTCACACTTGTGACCTACCAACTCTAAATTCAGAGGTTCCCACGATCTTCTCAGGTTCAATAATCAACCCACAGAACTCACTGAAAGCACTATGTTTACAGGTTATGGTTTATTATAAAAGATGTAACTTAAAGACAGTCAAATGGAAGAGACAAAGTTTCAAGGGTCCTGAGCACAGGAGCTTCTGTTCCTGTGGAGTTAGGGTGTGCTACCTTCCTGGTACATCATTATGTCCACCAACAAGTAGGCTCTCCAAGCTTTGGATGTCCAGCATTTTATTAGGTCTTATGTCATTGGCCATATGATCAAGCTTAACCCCTAGTCTCTCCTCACTCCCCAGAGGTTAGAGGTGGAGCTGAAAGTTTCAACCCTCTCGGTCAGTGCTTGGTCTTTCTGGCCTGGCCAGCCGCTCTCTTAAACACCTTAAAGGCCCTGGGGCTCAGTCGTTAAGCGTCTGCCTTCGGCTCAGGTCATGATCCCAGGGTCCTCGGTTCGAGCCCCGCATCTGGCTCCCTGCTCAGCAGGAAGCCTGCTTCTCCCTCTCCCACTCCCCCTGCTTGTGTTCCCTCTCTCGCTGTGTCTCTCTCTGTCAAATAAATAAATAAAATCTTAAAAAAAAAACAAAAAACACCACCTAAAGGCCCATCAAAAGTCACCTTGCTTAGCTTAATAAACTCAATATGGTCCAAAAGGGCCCTAGTGAATAAAAAAAGATACTTCTTACTCCTGGTAATTCCAAGGGTTTTTGAAGCTCTGTGCCAGGTATTAGGGACAAGGACTGGATAAATTCTCTCTCTTTTTTTAAATGTTTACATTAAGTTTATTGATACTTTACACTTGGTGGTAGCAGAACCAAATGTATTCTTTGTTTACCACATTCATGGTATCCCTTTTGTTCTCATTTTCTCTCGTCTTCCCTGTAAATAATAGAAGTTTAGCAAAATGCTTAATGTATTCAAATTCAGACTTTTTTGGGTAGAATTTACTTTTGGTGGTGACATGTACTTTATATTTCATTACATCAGAAGACATATCTGGGGGTGCCTGGGTGGCTCAGTTGGTTAAGCGTCTGACTCTTGACCTTAGCTCAGTTCTTGATCTCAGGGTCTTGAGTTTAAGCCCCACGTTTTTTACTTAAAAAAAAAAAAAAAAAAAGACACATATCTGGTTGGCCTATCAGTAGTTGCTGAAATTGAGTACTGGATTAGGGTAATGACAATGTGATCTTTTTATTGCACATCAAGAGTTTTCCTTTACAGCTAGAAAGTAATCTTTTGGTGTTGCTTCCATGGCTTAAGAGTCAGTTCCCCCGTGAACCATAGACTTAATGATTAACTAATTCTATTTTTCAGATTTGTAAAATGAAGCTTTTTTTTTTTTTTAAGACTTATTTATTTTAGAGAGGGGGGGGCACTAGAGGGAGAGGAAGAGAGTCCTCAAGCAGACTCCCTGCTGAGCGCAGAGCCCAATGTGGGGCTTGATCCCTGGACCCTGAGCTATGACCTGAGCTGAAACCAAGAATCAGACACTTAACCAACTGAGCCACACAGGCACCCTGTAAAATGAAGTTTTTCCTATTTGTTTTTTTTTTCCCCCTAATTGACCATTATTTTGATAGTAAAGCCTTCACATTTGTTTGTACCTTGTCTCTTTTATGGTAAGGTCCTTGAGTCTAGGGCTGGTACCTTATTTCTACTCTCCGTAGTCTTACAGAAATGTTCCTGCTGGGTTTTTTGTCCTTTTTGTGTCCAGGATAGTGGTGCTCTGTTATTAATGTAGTACTTAAAAAAATCAGTTGGCAATGACCTTGGTTATTTTAATAGGCTCTGGACTGTTTCACAGCAATGCTTTCTAAGCATTCAAGCAAACTGAAAATGGCAGAAATTATTGGAAGCAAATTGAACATTTCCAAGAAAAAGGTATGTAGTGCTATTTTTACTTCTTTGTTGAAAGGAAGCTGGATATTTACTTTACTTGCTAGTCTTTGGTCCTTACCTGGAAACGGTTCCTTTGCAATAACTGCTTCCTCTCTCAAAGTTCATAGTTTCATTGTTGCCTTTCATGAACATAAAGCTCTCACTATCTCTTAGATAAGTAGTTCTGATGTGTTCTACATTCTTAAAGTAAGCCATCTTGTGCCTTATATCACATGCATGCTTTATTTTCTCCAGTGTTTTAATGAGTGTGTTATTCCATAGGTTGTGGACTCAGGACTGGAACTGTTTTAGTAACACCTTTTTCTGTAGTTTTATGCATGATTAGATTTTTTCCAACTTCTTGTTGATGTCAAACATGAGAAAAATTGAAGAGTAGTACCAATGGACACCAAGAATAGTACAATGGACACCAAGAATAGTACACAAAAAATAGTACTTAGGTTCATTGCTGACATTTTTAATACTTTGCCATTCTTGTTTTATTTCAAAGTATCTATTGTTGGAGAAGAGAGCCTTTCAGCAGTGGTGGTGGTAGCTAGAGAAATGTCTGAGGCCCATCTTGTGGCAGATACCTGGCATTCCCAAATAAATGAGGACTCAAAAAACCTTATGTCAGGAACTGAAATAGAGGTGCTCCTTAGGATTCTGAAACTGTTGGGATGATTTTAGCTGCAGGTGACAACACCTACTAAAGGGGCTTAAATAATAAATAATTATAGTAGGCAAAAAAAGTGAAACTACCACAGCTGGGTTAGATTGATCAATATTTATTCCCTTTGGTGGAAGATTCAGTTTCCCTGAAAACTTTGCTGCCCCTTTCATTCCTGCCCTAAATCTAAACAAAATCTGAGTTTTTGGGGTTAGAGAGGAACGGCTGTTGGCTAGATATCCTGGAAGCATCTGTCACAGCTTCTCTTTGTGTTCAGATGTACCATGGTTCATTCAAGTCACTGTTTCCTCTATTATTTTAGAATCTAAAGCAGAGAAAAGCATAGCTGAAGAAAAATCACTGACTTTTTTTCGTAAATTTTAGGAGTAGAACTTTCTGTTCATTTGCTATTGGAATTTGTCAGTGTGTTCACTTTGGATATAGGCAGTTATGGGCTTATTTAAATGAATAAAAAGTACCCATTACAGGGAAGCATTCATGATCAATGTTTCAAAAATCATTAGAAATTCAGAAAATTTTTTTAAAAATCTTTAAAAAAAAAAAAATTCAGAAAATTTTAAAAAAGACACAATTAAAGCTAACTCACCTATCTTGGAAGTAAAAAGTACTTCTTAGTAAAGGGCTAATTAGAGGGGCACAGTAAGCCACAGGGATGAGGAAATGTTTGAAGAGCATAGTAGAATTTTTTTTTTTTTTAAGACAATACAGAATTTTACTCTGTCCCCTCCCATAGGCCGAATTCTTCTGTCAGCTTTATAAACCGGAAATTGTGATCAATGAACTAGATGTGCAAGTGGGTCGAGTGCGGCTTCTACGGAAACAAAGTGAGGCTGTACACATACAGAGGTAAATAGACTCTCAACTAGTCTGGGACTGTGGGGCATTAGGAACATGATAGAAGGACTGACTAGTCCAGCCCCTTGTGTCCGAGCAAAATGTGTATGAACGGTGGTCTCTCCACTGTGCAGGATGGTAAGAAGCAGTGCTTTTCTAAAGTATATTCTATGAAATTAGATGTTAATAGGTGAAGGAGGTGATGAGGGTGATTAGGGACTTGGGACTAGCAAAGATGTATTTTTTATTTTATTCACTTTAGTGTATTTAGCAAACTAAGCCTCACTTGGAAGTCAAGTAAGGTCCTAATGTTAGTCTGTTAATTCCTTGAAGGCTGGAATTTTACAAGATTCTGAGATCTAATTACCATTTATTAAATGCTTACTATACGCCTAATATTGTGCTAAGCGCTTTGCATATGTTTTCTCATGTAGTGGTTATAATAATTTTATGAATTAACTTATTAGAGTCTTATGGCTGCCATAATAAATTACCATAAACTTGGTAGCCTAAAACAACAGACATTTATTCTCTCACAGTTTTGGAGACTAGAAGTCTGAAATCATGATGTTGGCAAGGCCACACTTCCACTGAAGGCTTTTGCCTCCTCCTGGCTTCTGATGGCTACCAGCCATCTTTGGTGTTCCTTGTCTCTGTAGTTACGTCTCTCCCATCTCTGTCTCCATTGTCATACCATCTTTTTTCTTGTGTGTGTTTGTGTTTCTAAGTCTCTCTCTGTCTTTGTAAGGATACCAGTCATTGGATTTAAGGCTCATCCTTAAGCCTAGTATGATAGGGTTTTAACTTTATTATATCTGCAAAGACCTTCTTTCCAAATAAGGTTACATTCATAGGTTCTGGGTAGACCTGAATTTTGGGGAAGACTATTCAACCCACCACAAAGAGTAACTTGATCCAAATTTTACAGGTGAGGAAACCAAGGCTAAGAGAGGCTAAGTAATTTGCCTAAGATGACATAGCTAGTACAGATAATGTCTCATCTTATTGGTCTTTTGAATCTCCAGAGTCTAGTAAAGTACCAGGTGTATACATACTCAACGTTTGTAGAATGAATGAATTCTGCAATTCATAGGCTATAAGGATGTCTGTTTTATAGCATGAAGACAGCTACTGTGAGTTGTCTTCTCATTTTTGTGGAGTCTGGAAAATCTGGTTCCTCAATACAACACTTAAGAAAAACTTGTAGCCTGCCTTTCTGACCGCTTACTTGTTTTCGCCTTCCCAGGGAGAAGCTCACTTTTGCTCCTACAAGGCCATCCTCTGTTCTTATTGAACAGCTGGCGGTGTGCGTTAGCAAAGGGGAGCCTGTGTTGCTGGTGGGAGAGACCGGGACGGGCAAAACCTCTACTGTCCAGTACTTGGCTCACATTACAGGTAACTTAGAGGGGAAGCACTCTGCTCCCAGACAAAAAACATTTCACACGGATTGCCACCACCCCCCCGTCCGCCCCAATAAGAAGTCCACAGAATACTGGAGTTTAAAAAGTGCCACCACTCCACTTTACCTGGAAATTATCACTGGAAATTTTTTCCTTGAAAATAATGTAATTTTTTCCCCCCTGGAAATAACCACTGTTAACGGCTTGGTATTAACTTTTTTTGGTTCTAATCTATGGTCTGCAAATATATAAACATTTAAGTTTGGTTTTGTATTGAAAAAATGGGATTATACTCTATTTATTGCATTTAGTTAGTTCATAAGCAAACTGGACATCTTTAAAAATAGAACTGCCTCATTTCTATCTAATGGCTAAATAATAATATTCCATACTGGATGTTTATTTAATTCTCATTTATAGACATTGACTTACTGAAGGATTTTTTTGTTGTTTTCAGTTAATCTGATGCCAGAGCGATAATACACAATAAATCTTGTACATATCTTTCTGGGGTAGATGAAAATTTTGGATGGTTGAAATTCCTAAAAGTAAAATAAGAGAATCCGAGGAAGTGTACGTTAAAAGATTTCCCCTATGCCTATGCCCACACATCCTTAAGGATCACTGGATATAATTAGTCTTGAAATTTTCAGAGTGACCCTTTTGCCCTTTCTTTTTAAAAGGCCACCGTTTGAGGGTCGTCAATATGAATCAACAAAGTGACACTGCAGACTTGCTTGGGGGGTAAGTATGGTTTAAAATAATTTTCTTGTTATTTTGTGTTCACTGCTTGAGGAACAAATAGTTTGTCCTTTTAAAGCTCAAAATTAGCCTTAGAAAAAGGTTCAAAGACTTGCACCCCCACTCCAGCAGGTTATTTATTGGACTTTATTGAGGAGCTCTTGGATGTGTAGATGTTTCTCTTTGTTTTATTAATCTTTTTTTTAAAAGATTTTATTTGTCAGAGAGGGAGAAGCAGGCTCCCTGCTGAACAAGGAGCTGGATGCAGGACTCAATCCCAATACCCTGGGATCATGACCTGAGCCAAAGGCAGACGCTTAGCCAACTGGGCCACCCAGGCATCCCTGTTTCTCTTTATTTTAAAGAAAACTTGAGGTTCTTGCTCTCAGAGATCATGCTGGAATGGAGAAGGAAAAAAAAAAACAAGTGTATAATCAACTAATCAACTAATATATATAATCAACAGTCATTTATCTAAAGCGTACATTCTAGAGTCACAGTGCCTTAGAGCTAGACTCTCTCCTGCAGTTCAATTATCTTTGAAACATTAAGTAGCTCTCTACTTGGTTAAATGCTGCTCATGGGACTCCACTGTGGTCATTAAAATGCCCTTCTCCCTCTTGGTGTTTTTGAATATGTTCAGTTCACAATTTTAGTTTGTGCTGAAGGCCGTAAAACTGCTGGATGCTGTTGGCATACCTTATATTGAGTGATACTGGAATCTGTCCCATTGATTCAAAACAATTGCTCAAAAAAATCCTTAAAGACATAAAGTAGAATTTATTGTCCTTTTTGCTCTTAATGGCTTCTGCCAAAAAGGTTTTCATTTATCTGTTTTTTTGAGGGCCACATTACAGCAGTTTTTATTTTCGCTCTCTTTGTCTTATATCCCTCCTTGCTGTGGTTAGAGTGCTACTTTGAATCCTGCTTCCTTTGGTACTTTTCCTTTTCTTGCCCATTACTTATATTCTGTTCTACACATATTAGTAATGATGTACTTAATGCTCTTAAATATATATTCTGTCTTAAGATCAATTAGCTAAGGCTTACCTTTCTTACTCTAATTCTACTTTCACTTTGTTATTTTTTCCCCAGTGATCGTTCTGCTTTTTTTTTTTTTAAGATTTTATTTATTTATTTGAGAGAGAGAATGAGATAGAGAGAGCATGAGAGGGGGGAGGGTCAGAGGGAGAAGCAGACTCCCTGCTGAACAGGGAGCCTGATGCAGGACTCGATCCCGGGACTCCAGGATCATGACCTGAGCCGAAGGCAGTCGCCTAACCAACTGAGCTACCCAGGCGCCCTCTGCTTTGTTTTTATTTTATTTCTGTCAGTTAATTGACAATCTCCCCTTTTCCTCATTGAGGTATTTGACAATGTATTCTTACTAATATATAGAATTTGTTACTTAACTAGGTATATCTCTACTACCGTATATTTCTCCCTATTCTGTATCTATATATGTCTTCAGGAATATTCTCCTGTTATGTATACCTAACACAAATGTCTGGTCTTGTACTTATTGAACATGGACTGTGTCTGTCTCTTCTAAGAATTCGTAGTGTTATGTCAGCCATTGTAAGTAGTTTTAAACGTAGTGAGTACAAAGATGCCCATTTGTGTCCTGATGCAATTGATAATATGAAAAGGTTGGAATCAGAATATGGTAACTGGAATTTTGTTTTAGTGGACTTGCTAAAAAGAATATATATTCATTTTTCCTTGTTCATAGGTTAGCATCAGTTATCAAAAAGAAAACTTACATATGCTTCAGTTTTTGTATGGTTGGAAATATGCCTTGCTTCCTATACTTTTGTATTACTAGAAAGTGGTATAAATCAAATCTTTTAATATATAACATATTGCAGATGCATGGATGACTTCCTTGCTTATGAATTTTTGTGTGTAAGATGGAAAGACTAAAAAATGACTTTAAAAACACAAGGGAGTGGAAAACAAAATTTAAGAGTTGAAGGGAGGTGGGATAGAGAAAGGATATTTCTGTTTTGGGGATGTGTGGTTTCATCCGTTTTATTAGGTTTTCTTTTCTTTTTAAAAATTATTTATTTCACAGAGAGAAAGAGAAAGCGAGAGCAGGAACACAAGCAGGGGGAGTGAGAGAGGGAGAAGCAGGCTTCCCGCAGAGCAGGGAGTCCGATGTGGGGTTCGATCCCAGGATCCTGGGATCATGACCTGAGGTGAAGGCAGACGCTTAACGACTGAGCCACCCAGGCACCCCTTTATTAGGTTTTATAACTTATGTTAAACATATTTTACATGTATCAAATACTATTGTAAAAAAATAATGAAAGAAATTTATAGACCTAATTTGTTTTGCAAATCTGGATCCTTTAGATTGATTTTAAAAAGATTATTATTGAGAATAAAGACACTTTATAAAAGTAAAGCTTTGAAGACCGTCAAAGTCTTCAACTATGTTATGTAGATTGCCTTCTGATCTTTGTTAGTATATGTACCCCCTTGTTTTTTGATTAGTATTGGCTTGGTATATCTTTTTCCTTCATTTAATTTTTTTTTTTTTTTTTTAAGTAGGCTCCACACCCAACGTGGGGCTTGAACTAATGACCCTGAGATCAAAAAAAGAATTGCATGGTCTACTGACTGAGCCAGCCAGGATCCCATCCATTTAATTTTTAACTCATTTAAAAAAAAATTTTTTTTTTTGAGATTTTATTTTTAAGTAATCTCTGCACCCGACGTGGGGCTTGAACCTATAACCCCGAGATCAAGTGAGCCAGCCAGGCGCCCCTGTTATTCTGGTAGGCAGAACGTAGTCCTTCAGATTACCTGTGAGTGGAGAACTAAACCAAGTTCCAACAGAGTTGGGGGTGAGGAGAGCTTATGATGAAACTCTATGAAAAAGAGTAGAGGACACAGAGGTAGAGGACACTTAGATGAAGCAGATAAAATCATTCCAGAAAGAGAAAGTCTAGGACTAAATGGCAAAACCCAGAGCACGGATTCACAGCACTGATTATGGAGAAGGGGATTGGGAAGGGCAACCACTGAGGAAGAAACAGCTGTATAGAGAAGGGGAGGGACCCTTGGAGAAGTTGGCAATGAAGGAAAGAAAAAAAGGGGAGGAAAATTAAAGATCTCATAGAAATGGAAAGGCCACCAACTCGCGTCCTCTTTCTTGCCACCCGTAGAAACATCTGCACAGAAGAGAGGGGGCAGAAGTGCATGCTTAAACTTGGAATCTTGACTCTAAAAGGAAGAAGAGTGTTTATCATTTCAGTTACTGAGCATGTGCTGTTTTATCTTCTTTCACATATTACAGTTTTAGAGAGTTATTTTCTTTTGTTTTTAGCTATTTTCAAATGAATTCTTAAATGCATTCTCAGTGTTATATTCTCTCAGGTGTCAGGTTGGTTCCCACTGAGTGTGTTACAATTAATTTTTTTTCCTTTCTGAAGTGTATATATGTTGATTCATTTTTTTCATCATTTGAAAATTTGACTTTTATTGACTTAACTGTTTCAGCCACTATGCTGTGCTTTAAATGAACAAATGTTTTTTAGTCTAATTTGTAGGAATAAGCTACTTTTTTCATGAACTTAATAGACTTGAGCCAGTTAATAACATTAATAATTATAACAGCTAATTCTTATATGTACTCATGTTCCAGGCACTATTTGGAGTCCTTTATTTTTTACTTTTTAAAGATTTATTTTTTTATTTTAGAGAGTGGGCAAGAGAGTGGGGGGGTGCAGAAGGAGAGAAAATCCTCAGACTCCCCACAAGCCACTGCAGGGCTTGATCCCAGCACCCTGAGATTGTGACCTAATCTGAAACCAAGAGTGGGACACTTAACGGACTGTGGCACCCAGGCGCCCTGGAGGCCTTTATTTGTGTTAACTCACTTCGCCTTTTTAGCAACCATGAGGCACAGACTATTACCCGGTTATACACACGAGAGAACTGAGATACATGGGGATTAAGTACCTTGTTAAGGTAATGGGTGGTTCATGTTTGGACCCAGGCAGTCTGTACTGAGTGTGTGTGTTTTTAATCATTACTCTGCTGCCTCAGTTAGCTTTGGGTTCCATTTGTACTGTCACCTTTAGACTAGCAATTTTATTTATTTTTTTTAGTTTTATGGTTTTATTAACACAAATATGATGTGCACAACAAGCTGTTTATTCATTTTCTTCGCTGTGCAGCCTGGCATTGGGATTGGGTGACTCTGATTACCAGCTGGGCTGCTCTTTCCACCATGGCTTTGTGGTTCTTGGAGGAGACATTGTGAGCAATCTCTGCACAGTAAGATTTGTTACACATCAGCAGCACTTCAAGCTCCTTGATGTTGTGGACTAGGAACTTCCGGAAGCCACTGGGCAACATGTGCTTTGTTTTCTTGTTGCTCCTGTAACCAATGTTGGGCATCGAGATCTGGCCCTTGAATCTTCTGTGCACCCTATTATCAATGCCTCTGGGTTTCCGCCAGTTGCGCTTAATTTTGACATATCAGTGACTGGTGCCAGATGAACTTCTTGGTTCTCTTTTTAACGATCTTGGGCTTCACCAGAGGTCTGAGGGCAGCCATGATGCCCAGTAACAGATGGCTGCCACCTCCGCAGGCAGCGCCAAGGAAGAGAGGGGAAGCTAGACTAGCAATTTTATTTAAATAAAATGTGTGTTTTGCTTAATTCCTCACTACTTCTACTGTTCATCATTGTTTGCTTGGTCCAGTGTGTAGGTCTCTCATCCTTGCTTCTACTCCTAACTTCCCAAAGGTCTCTGTCCATTTAGTAGTTAATGATACTTCAAAGGTATCATCAAATCACATCGCTGTCTACCTCAAATCCTTGCACTGACTTCTCAGTCTATTTAGAGTATATTCTAAAGGCTTTTTTTGACCTCTGAAGCCCTTCATAATCAGGTGGTAGCACTTCTCTGACATAATTTCCTTTGTCTGGTTCTGCCACTGAGTTCCAGCCACTCACTTTTCCATGTTGCACCTAGATGTTTGCTCTTCTCTCTGTGACATCCCTTGCCACCCACAGATGTTTGGCTTAGCTCCTTTCCTTGCTTGATTTGGGTCGCCTTCAAATTCCCGTCTTTAACAAAGCCTTTCTGACTATCATATCTAAATTTACCAGTGCCTTCTTCACCCACTCCTTTATATTCATAGCACTTACTACTACTTGATGTTTTATAGTAGATATATTTTTTTATTGTCTCTTTCTTTAGATTGTAAGCTACAGTGGGGCAGGATCTTGTGGGTCTTGTTTACTCAGTGCCTAACACCTAGCAGGTACTCAGTAAATTTTTGTTGAGTAAATAGAGTAAATAAATGTCTTTACTGATGTGTTAGTGCTTACTGGTAAGTGTAAATGAGTTTGAAGTTCTCATTCTTTTTCTCTCTGGAATCAGACTCTTTGATAGATGCTCAGTATCAGGGCCTTGGTTTTACTTTGTTTCATGGTTCCTCCCTCACAGTCTAATGAGTAAATAGTGTCCATGAGTTCTCTAATTGTGCTTGACTGTTCTGAAACATATTTGGTATTGTTTTGGTTCTCAAGTTATTTTTCTTGGAAACGAAATTTATGTCATTGTCCTTTAATTATAGTATTTAGTATCTTAGGTTATAGAAAATTGTATTCTTGAGGTTTTTTGGGAACAATTAGCGCTGCTTGAGCAACTTTCAGCTACAGCAGTGTTTCTCAACTCTTCATTATTGCCCCTCCCCCTGAATATTAAAATTTATATGAGGGGCACCTGGGTGGCTCAGTCAGTTAAGTGTCCCACTCTTGATCTCAGCTCAGGTCTTGATCTCAGGGTCATGAGTTCAAGCCCTGCATTGGGCTCCACGCTGGGTGTGGAGCCTAATGCTTTAAACGAATGAATGAATGAATGTGGAGCCTACTGCTTTAAGTAAATGAATGAATGAATGAATGAATGAATTTTTTTTTTAAAGATTTTATTTATTTGAGACAGAGAGAATGAGAGAGACAGAGAGAATGAGAGAGACAGAGAGCACATGAGAGGGGGGAGGGTCAGAGGGAGAAGCAGGCTCCCTGCCGAGCAGGGAGCCCGATGCGGGACTCGATCCAGGGACTCCAGGATCATGACCTGAGCCGAAGGCAGTCGCTTAACCAACTGAGCCACCCAGGTGCCCTAATTAATTAATTTATATGAATTCATTTCCTAGCTTCCCAACCAGAGAAATACTAAAGAATAAGAGAGAATCTAAATAGTAAGAAATAGGGGTGCCTGGGTGGCTCAGTCATTAAGCGTCTGCCTTTGGGCTCCCTGCTTGGCGAGAAGCCTGCTTCTCCCTCTCCCACTCCCCCTGCTTGTGTTCCCTCTCTCACTGTGTCTCTGTCAAATAAATAAAATTTTAAAAAAAATAAATAGTAAGAAATAAAATGTTGAGCTTTGGAGGGCCACAAACCATTGCAATGTCTAAGATTTTGTTGCTTCCCCTTCTCCCCTTGTTTCTCTTTAAGAACAATATCCTCCCGCTGTCAATTGAGAAGCCATGAGCTGTGCTCGCTTTGCTTAAGTTAATTGATTTCAGATGTCGTGTTTTCTTCTAAAATATCCTGAAAAACCATATTTTAAGATTGACCAAAAAGTTATTAAGTACTATACATGATGTTTATTTAAACATGTTAGTAAAATAAGTGACATACCTCTCACTGTCCAACTAGAAATTTCCAATTTTTTTTTCTTTTTTTTTAAAGATTTTATTTATTTATTTAAGAGAGAGAGACACAGCGAGAGAGTGAACACAAACAAGGGGGAGTGGGAGAGGGAGAAGCAGGCTTCCCGCCGAGCAAGGAGCCCAATGCAGGGCTTGATCCCAGGACCCTGGGATCATGACCTGAGCCGAAGGCAGATGCTTAATGACTGAGCCACCCAGGCGCCCCCCAATTTTTTTCTTAATACTGTTTATCTAATACTAGTTTTTACCTTTAGTTTATAGGCCCTTCAAACACTGAGAGTGAAGGAAATAGATAATAACTTAAAACTTTAACATCAGGGCGCCTGGATGGCTCAGTTGGTTTAGTGGCCAACTCTTGATTTTGGCTCAGGTCATGATCCTAGGGTCCTGGGCTTGAGCCGCATGTTGGGCTCCTTATTCAGCGGGGAGTCTGCTTGAGGATTTCTCTCCCTCCCCCTCTCCCCCTGCTCTCTCGCTCTCTCTCTTAAATAAATAGATCTTTAAAAAAAATAAAACTTTAACAGATTTTTCAAAAAGTATTTTGGTATTATTCCTGATTTTGAATAAATGAAATCTTAGACTTGTTCCTATATTCTAATACATGATTTCTAATTTCTATTAGCTTCAGAAGTTTGTGAATTACATTTACCTTTGTTTCAGTTACAAACCAGTGGATCATAAGCTTATTTGGCTGCCCTTACGGGAGGCATTTGAAGAACTCTTTGCCCAGACATTTTCCAAAAAGCAAAACTTTACATTCTTGGGGCACATTCAGACCTGTTACAGGCAGAAACGGTGGCATGATCTCCTCAGACTAATGCAGCATGTTCACAAGTCGGCTGTCAACAAGGATGGAAAAGAAAGTGAAACTGGTAAGAATAGGACCTATACTACTAGTGGGACGCCATGAGGCTGGGGCTTGATTAGCAGAATTAAAACCAGTGACCAAAGGGTTAGCATGACTAATAAGCACAGCTGCAGACTAATAAATGAGGCTGCAGTGTTTTCCCTTAAACATCCCTGACTCTGCTCTCCTGCAAGGCAGATTTGAGGCTTATTAGCCCATCACCTTGTTTGGCTGCCTCTCTCTTTTTTTTTAATATTTTATTTTTAAATAATCTACACCCCAAGTGGGGCTTGGACCTACAATCCCAAGATCAAGAGTCACGTGCTCTACAGCCAGCCAGCCAGGTGCCCCTTGGCTGCCTCCTGAGTAAACCCCTTTCCTTGCTACATACTCAGTTGGCTTTGCTGTGTCAGGCACATGAACTTGGGTTTAGTTACCAATTTGGTGAGCCAGCCAGGATGTTTTTGCCAGTGGTTCATGAGCCGCCAGCTGATAACGAGAATTTGGTGACAAGTTCAAGCAGCTGCTTAGGCTCCTTGTCCTAGGAATTGTCCCTGAGGCCCCACCCTTACTGGGTGCTGCCAGCCCTCCATGCTTAATTTAGCTGTTGTGGCAAGGAAATGGTTTTTGGTTTGGACAGATCTGTCTTGGTGAGCTAATTTCTTCCTCCCATTTGGCTTGGCTCTCTTAGCCTCCTTTTCTTGCTTGATTAGGAAAAGGTTGACTAGGAAGCCATTTGGTTCAGTTGGTGAAGCCCCGACTTTTAGGGAGGAACCAGTGCTCACATAGGCATTCGGGTCTTCATTTGGTTTGTTGCTGCAGCTTTTGTTGGGATTTCTAATGGGAAAATGGGAAATGACAATTTGATTCCTGAACGCAGCCCTTTGGGCTATATTCTTCAAAATTGGGCAGTGTTTAGTTACGAACTTATGAAAGAAAAAAGGATGATTTTTTTTTTGCAACACTGCTTGGCCATAATGTTCATTAGACTCCGGATAACAATGATCAGTTAATGAATCCATAAATTATAATACCATCTCTCAATTGGATTTGTTCTGTAATATTTTGTTTGCATCTTGTCTATGTATTCGTATATGTGTTCATGTATGTTGTAAATAAGAGATATTTTCTCCACCTCTGGATAGTATTGCTAAAATTAGTTTGTAAAAGAGCACTGTTTAAGTTAGTTTGAAGGCAAGTACTTATGAGAGTTGGGCATTCTAAAACTCAGAAACTAACCCAAGCTTTTCAGGTTCACATGATCTGAAAAAATATTCGGTAAAGTTAATTTTAGGTTGTTGGTTTAATTAAAATAGATATGTCTTTAGAATTATCAGTATTACTCTTGTTCTGCCTGGATTTACTTAAGTCAAATAAGTTGATATAACTTTTTAAAAATATATATATATAGCTTGGGCGAATGACTTTGTCTTTTAAAGTTTTTATGGGTAATCTAAATATCATTGTTCAGAACAAACAAATGTAAATAAGATAAAAAGGTTTACAGGTAAACTTTTCAGTAGCTTTCAAAATCTTTGATAACCTAAAACTTTAAGGTTTTACTAAGTTAAATGATGTCACTAAATAGCTAGATCGTTTCTAAATAAGATAAAACATTACTAAACATAGGTTTATCTGATTTTGGCCTCTTATTACAGAGAAACTAAAGATATTTGGGTTTGTTAGTAAACATGTTTTTGTGCCATGCTGAGATAAGGCATATATTTCTAAAAATTCTTTAATGTCATAAATTCACCAATCTAAAGATGCCGGTACAACAAACAGTTCACAAGTAGTTACTACTTAGTTTTTACTAGAAATTTAAGGTTTCTAAGAGTTAAAAGTTCTAATACATAGAATTACTGAAAATGATAAAGGAAACAACTCTGTATGCAGGGAAAGTGAGACTGGTTATTTAAAGAGGGAAAATTGAAGACAAAATGTGAATGTAAAAAGGAAAGCTGTAGAAGGTTTGTGACAAGGGAATCTTTGGAAAGGAATTTTGTGCATGGTAGGCACTAAGATTATGGATATTAGTATGTAAAGTTTATTAGGGAGTGATCAACACCTGGGGAAGAGAAGAGAGTAAGACAGCAAGATTAGGCAGAAATTGAGCAGTGATACAGTATCAAAAGAAGCCTTAGCTGATTCTCTGAGGAGTTACAAATTTGGATTATCCTTCAGAACCATCCTAAATTTGGGCAAAATTGGGGCTGGACTTTCATAATAGTCATTGGATGTGACCACCTGGGAAGAGGGCATGTCCTTGGCAAGACAGCTGTCTTCAGTCGAGGCAGTCCCTGATGGCATCTCCAGAGTTGAGGACTGTTGGCAGTGCCCCTGTAGCCGAGAGCCCTTCATTTCTGATGGAGATTCTGGTCAGCACATCACTGCCACGCACCACAAGAAATCAGATCCACACTGTGCCCTGGATGTCCTCATCCCGATAAGTATATGTCAACATGGGAGATGACAGGGAGGAAAAAGGAAGGGACTTGATGAATTTTTAAAGAATTCATCTTGTTGGAATGAGTAAGTGTTAATATCGGAAGTATACTGGCATAAAATTGGAGTTAGGTTTTCATATTAAAATAGTAGTTTCCTTAGATTATTGATCTAATAAGAAATTGTAAACAAAGGTTTTTCTTTATCTTAAATGTGACCTGCTTAGAAAAACAAAATTTCTATGTTTTGTCTCTCTTAGGTCCTTGATTACTTAAGAAAGTTGAATCTTCTCAATATTGAAAGTCCTCTAAGTGTTGCTAACAACTCTGTAACCCTCTGTATTTGCCTTTAGAATCTCTATTGCTGCCTTGGCTAGATAGGTAATTAGGTTTTGTAATGATCTGTAATCCTGTTTTGGCATATGCTTCAAAACTTTCTGATACTTCTGACAAACTTCCCAAAGTTCAACTTCTGAATAAAGTCTTTTTTACTAATTAGGCTTATTTTGTATGTTACTACATGGGAAGCATTGTCAAATAAGTGATGATAAACCTTCCTAGGTTATAAGATTTTAATATATCCTAGTACAGTGTCATCACTTGTAATTCTAATTATTAAAATGTTGTGTGCCCCACTAATAACCAGATTTCCCTGTCAGCTGCATTATAATGAACTCTGATCAGATCTTTAACCATGGCCATTTTTTAGTCTTTTGTCATTTATAGTTACTGTTTTACTCTAATGATCTTGCAAATATGTTTCAGCTTCAAGGCAATTCATGGAAAGGACTTTGACAAATAGTTTTTTGATGCCTTTAAGATCATAAAACTGAACTAGGTAAAAATTGCTGGAACTAATGAAAAAGCTGGATTCAAGTAGAATAACATGGGAATAAAAGAATTGAGAAAAATGATTATTTTTTTATGACTTTTGTTTGACATATTGTTGGCTCTCTAATGTTTGCTCTTCTGGATTTAAGGAAACTTTTTCTCTTAAGCTATGACTCACAGAAATTTAATACAATATTCCTTTGTAAACAAATATGAAACATTTATTTTTTTCTCCAGAATTCAGAAAGTCTCAGTGAAAGTTCTTATATTTTCATGGCAATTATAGTTATTAGCAAAAGTTCTCTAAGAATCTGTTCTCCTTGTAACAGGACACCACTGGAAACATTGGTTATATTACCAAGGCTTTGACTGGAATGTCATATTTGAGGGTGAAATGCATAGACTCAAATGTGACCAGATGGCTTTAAGGAAGTGGGTTGAGTTTTTGGAGCTGATAAAGCCCCTTGGAAATATCAGCTTGATACCTTGCTTACAGATACCTTGCTTACCTAGCAGCCTTACCAGGCCTAACTTTGAGAGCCCACCTGCAGGACTGCCTCCTGAGCTAAGACAACTGTTTAACAGAACTGACCTATTCTCAAGACTAAGACTAGTTTATGAAATATGGAGCAAACTTCTTACCTAAGGTCCAGAACAATTAAACTCAGGCTAAGAAGAAACAATGTTGAATTGTGATGTTTTTCTAAGAAAAATATTCTTGTCAAAAGGAGAAAATGTTAATTTATACCCATACATAATGGCTTCACTATACTGAAGCCCTTTCCTGGTACATGCTCATGGGGCTAGTTGGAAGGAAAGGGAACTTTTGACCTTAGAGAAAGAAAGACAAAAATACCTAAGAGCCAGGATCACCCAAACCTTGGATGGTGGCACACCTTGGGCACCGATTTCATCCACCATCTTTGGAACAAAAATTTGCTAACTATTCTTGTGAGCCCTGACAGATTTTTTTTTTTTTTTAAGGTTTTATTTTTAGAGAGAGGGAGCAAGTGAGCATGGGGGGAGGGGCAGAAGGAGAGAGAGTCTTAAGCAGACTCCGTGCTGAGTGCAGAGCCCAACCTGGGGCTCGATCTCATGACCCTGACTGAGATCATGACCTGAGCTGAAACCAAGAGTTGGCCGCTTAACCGACTGTGCCACCCATGTGCCCCACCCCGACAGACCTTAAAAGGTGTTTTTCAGGAGACAGACTAACAGATGAGTGTGATTACTTGAGGTTACTGATTTGCTATATACTTTACAGCAGGTTGAATCCACAAGCAGTAAAGACTCGACACCAGGTGATGGTGTTTGTACATGCTTGAAATGTCACTGTAAGAACAGCTGTGTCTCTAATAGAGGAAAAGAACAGTGGCCAGATTTCCTGCTTTTTACCTGCACAGGATCTATATATGGACATGCAGAAAAACAGACCAGAGAGGTGTATCCAGGTAGTGGCCACTGAAGCTGATTGAACCCACCTGGTCATAGTAGGAGGTGCTGTGTCAGCACTCCAGGATCCACCTGCTATAATATGAGTATTCTTCTCCACAATTAAATATTTCCTGCATTCACCTTCTTACTAGTGTCATTGGTGTCACAAGCCAACCCCTACAGTGAACTAATGCCATTTGGCTTTGAAGAAAAACCAGTTTATATCGAAGACTTAGATCAGGCAGCTGGCTTTTACAGGAATGAGGAGATTCAATAGAATCCAGTCAGTTGTGTTTGAGACTACTTCCAGTACCAGCGACAAATTCAGCAAATGTCTAGAACTTCCGAGCATCGCTGTGAAAGAACTAACTGGTGATAATGCAGTTGTCAGCCACAGCAGAAAAATGAGATGGAGTGACAAGAAAGAGCGTTGGGTATACAACTCTTTCCCAGATTGTAAAGCTCCTTATTTTTGATGAAGTGTATTAGCTGCATGGAAATAAAGGACTTCAGCTGCTTTTAGTAGCTTGTCTAGTTGCTGTATATGTCAGCTTTCCGATGTTGCTCCAAACAACCAAAGAAGAAACTACTGTTTTGGTCAAGCAGAAGGTACATGTTAAGCCAAGTACCAGGGAATATTTCCAAGAAGGCACGAAGTTGTTTTATTCCTCAAACCCCAAAACTGCACCCTGTTTCAGGCGGAAGTAACTAGAGCTGTTGTCATCCCAATTCCCTCAAGAATGAATCATGATCAAAGACATTCGGGGAGGTGGGGCTCCTGGGTGGCTCAGTCGGTTAAGCACTTGCCTTTGGTTCAGGTCATGGTCCTATGGTCCTGGGATCGAGCCCCATGTTGGGCTCCCTGCTCAGCGGGGAGTCTGTTTCTCCCTCTGTCACTCCTCCTGCTTGTGTTCTTACTCTTGCTCTTTCTCAAATAAATAAAATCTAAAAAAAAAAAAGACAGTGGGGATTGAAACTGGTAACCGAGGGGTTAATGGGACCAATAATAAGCGCAGCTGCAGACTAAAACCACAGATACAACATTTTACCCAGGCCTGTTTTTGCTTGCCTGTAAATATGACTCTCTTTCTTCGGGAAGGGCGGATTTGAGGCTTGCTTGTCCAGAGTCTCCTCATTCAGCTGCCTTTTGAATAAATCCTTGCTGCACACTTGGTGTCTCCACGATTGGCTTTGCTGTGCATCAGGCAGACAAACTTGGATTCCCTTAAAGAATTAGGAGAAGAGTGTGGGGAAGAATGAAGCCATATAAATTGGAGCTTTCTAGACTTAGGGCAAAGATGACTAATTCTGAAATATTGCTGCTCTTGTGATTCTAGGCATGATTTCCATAAAAACATGGTTGGTATATTGATGTACAGGTACCACTTACTGGTCAATAAGTCACATTTCCTTAGAAAATAAGTTATTTCCAAAAAGCTGGATTCTACAGCCAAAGGGCTTTTGGTAGCTTAGTTATCTTTGTGCTTCCTCATCCATAAAATGGGGAAAAGGATGCCTACTTCAAACGGCTGTTGTGAGGGGTGAAAGAATTAGCTAATGTACATATGCATATAAATGAACTGATTACTATAGTGGCTGGCACATAACATTATATAAGTATTTGGATTTATTTTTTTATACATCTAAGATGTTTGATTTTTATGTGAGTTTTGTTTTGTTTGTTTGTGTTTAAGTTCTGTGTATTACAACCTAAAATGTATGTTAAATTCTTGTCTTTATTCTTTTCTAGGGTTACTCCTAAAAGAGAAATGGGAAGCATTTGGTCTTAGACTCAACCATGCTCAACAACAGATGAAAATGACTGAAAATGCTCTATTGTTTGCATTTGTAGAGGTATTTTGGTTCAGTTATTTAGGTTAAAGGAATGTTGATTTGATGCAAAATGCAAGTTTAGGCAGGCTACTATTTTGTATTCTCTTTATGTTGATATTTTTAGTGCTTTGTGTTTAAGACTTAATAAACACTAATGAAATAATACTTTGGGGGGAAGATTTCTGAAAAATGTCCTTTATGGAAATTATAGGGCCTTGATTTATTTTTAAAGTTGTAGTTGAGGACAGTTAGTGAACTCTGTTTCATGGTAAGGGATTGGGGGGATAGATTTGGATCTATTCACTTGAGGCCTCACTTTCTTTCTTTCTTTCTTTTTTTTTTTTTAAAGATTTTATTTATTTATTTGACAGAGAGATAGCAAGAGCAGGAACACAAGCAGGGGGAGTGGGAGAGGGAGAAGCAGGCTTCCTGCTGAGCAGGGAGCCTGATGTGGGGCTCGATCCCAGGAGCCTGATGTGGGGCTCGATTCCAGGACCCCTGGGATCATGACCTGAGCTGAAGGCAGACGCTTAATGACTGAGCCACCCAGGCACCCCAAGGCCTCACTTTCTATTCCACCAAATGGGTAGCTCTACTGTTTTCTGTCCTCTCACCCTGTGGAAAAATTAAATTTTCATGACTTAAGCTTTTTAAATTCTTCTTTTAAAAAATTGTTTCTGTGACGTACTTTAGACTACACCCTAAAAGGAGGTAGGACTCTTGTTTGAGGTGGTGTTTTGGTGAGCGAGAAGGTCACTGGATCATGTCCATCGGTGTGAGAAATTTGGTCATCAGTGCTTAATCTTAATAGGATTATTTTTAAAATAACCAATTAGGATGTCAAGTGCTCTCAAAATAGGGCTTATACCTATTTCATGACTTGGCATTATGCTGGAATTCAATACATTTGTTCTGTTTTATTTTCAATTAAGTTTATAGAAGATTCTGATAGGATCATCATGAAAACAAAAGTATAAACCATTTAATAATAAAACAATTTAGTTTTTGATGTGTCAACTGAGTGGATTTTAAGATTTTTCAGTGCTCTTGGAAATAGAACTTGAAGAGATAAATCAGTGAAGAGGAGGAAAGATTTAGTTTGATTTTCTCCAGCAAATGTGAAAGGCTATGTATTTAAACATTGCACTCTATTGATTTAGTCATTTATCTCATCTTTGCATGTTCATCACCTATTTATTTTGGATGCTTTTAATAACCATTTGGGTGCTTATAAACATCTAAATACATTATAAGTTATTAGTTACCTGACCATCTGTCTACTGAGATGATTTAGTTTGTTGCACCCCTCTGTTAGGCTCAAAGATATTCTCTTGACCCTTCTGGACATTTAAAAATGTTTACTTGGGGACGCCTGGTTGGCTCAGTTGGTTAAGCGACTGCCTTCAGCTCGGGTCATGATCCTGGAGTCCCTGGATCGAGTCCTGCATCGGGCTCCCTGCTCGGCAGGGAGTCTGCTTCTCCCTCTGACCCTCCCCCCTCTCATGTGCTTGCTCTCTCTCATTCTCTCTCTCTCAAATAAATAAATAAAATCTTTAAAAAAAAAAAAATGTTTACTTGGCCTTAGCTCTTACAACTAGCTGGCAGGCATTTGGCATTGAGGGTGAAAGCTCTTCAAGCACAAGGTTTGTCCTCACTTCTTGTTTCTAAACCTGCTTACATAACTGCTCTTGGTGAGTGTATCTTTATCTGCAATGGATTTTTAACAGTTTACTTTCTCTTCTTTTAGGGTACACTATCTCAGGCCGTAAAGAAGGGAGAGTGGATCTTGTTGGATGAGATTAATCTGGCTGCTCCAGAAACATTAGAATGTCTCAGTGGTTTACTTGAAGGCTCCTCTGGCTCCCTGGTGTTGCTGGATCGAGGAGACACAGGTAGCACTTGATCCCATTGAGGTTTGATTTGGTGCCAGGCCTTTTGACCTCTTTATTTATTTATTTATTTTTTAGATTTTTTATTTATTTATTTGACAGAGAGAGAGAGACAGCGAGAGAGGGAACACAAGCAGGGGGAGTGGGAGAGGGAGAAGCAGGCTTCCCGCTGAGCAGGGAGCCTGATGCGGGGCTCCATCCCAGGACCCTGGGATCATGACCTGAGCCGAAGGCAGACGCTTAATGACTGAGCCACCCAGGCGCCCCCTTTTGGCCTCTTTAGAGTAAGATTCTTTTGGTTAGGTGGATTACATAGTCCTCCAAGTGTTCATTCCATAGTACTAATTTTCTGCCAAGTTAGGTGGCATTGGGAGTGCAAAGAGTAAGAATTTAAGTTACTTGGGTAGTAGACAGTAGACAGGCACACTGAGTGACAAAATATATGCTGGTGAATAGGTGATAAAATATAAATAATAATGAATAGCTATACCTTAAAAGGTAGTGGAAGGGCAGCATAAGATTAAGTTGGTACATAAGTCTAGAAATTGGTTTCAATGGGGTTTCAGAAAAAGCAAGGATGGTTTGAGCAGCCAGCACCAAACCCCCTGAGTCTGAGGCAGGGTTTCCTGGCCTGAGGTTCTGTGGAGTTAGATAGTCTTCCCCTGGGCACCTGTGGCTGATCACTTGATGTTACCAGTTGAGAATTTATAATTTTCTCTTAACAGAACCACTGGTTCGTCATCCTGACTTCCGTTTATTTGCCTGTATGAACCCAGCAACAGATGTGGGCAAAAGAAATCTCCCACCAGGAATAAGAAACAGGTGAAGGGACACGGCCTGAATCCTGGGGATTTTTTTTTTTCTTTAAAGTTCTCTTTATTGATTGATAATATTAACATAACGAAACCTCATAACCATGCTTGAAATTTCTTGATCTCTGATAAGAGGAATCCTTCCTTGTTTGTCATATTCCTCTACCTTCTCTAGGTGGTAGGAATACAGAGGACTCCAGAACACTGGAGAATTTTTTCCTTTGGGTTGTTTGTATGATACTTAGTGGCTCACAAATATTGTAGAACATAAAATTTTTTCTTCCTTCAAATAACCTTATAGCTATCAGAAAAACCTTCACATACTGATAAAACAGTAGAACATATAACAGTATAAGTGCATTTTAGGAACTGAATCCTCTTGGATGAGGTCAGTGATTTGTAAAAGGCCTTTTAATTTTCAGTGTTCATTAAACACTGACACCAACAAGGTATTTTGTTGGTATTTTATGTATGTAGCATTTGGAAAAAATAAATGATCTTATTTTTGTTGGTGACCTTTTGTTGAATTTTGAATTTTAAAATAGTGCTAAAATTTTATTAGATTCCTCCCTCCCATTAGAAGAATAATAAAACCTTCTCAGGAAAATTTTATAAACTATAAGCATTGTATTTTCCTTTGCTCCAGTGATTTTATTTTTGATGATGAGGGTGCTTTTTGTTGTTGCATGTATTTTTCTATCACATGCCGTTATAGTAACACCTCTGAAAATAAGGATAAAGGTCTTATCTTCTTCTATTTCATTATGGTCAGTTTGTATCTAGACGAAAGGCTTTCATATTTTATAAGCAGTTAAAATGAGTTTACATAACTTCTTGTGTTTTGTATTTTTTTTTAATTTTTTTTTTTTTAAGATTTTATTTATTTATTTGACACAGACACAGCGAGAGAGGGAACACAAGCAGGGGGGAGTGGGTAAGGGAGAAGCAGGCTTCCTGCAGAGCAGGGAGCCCAATGCAGGGCTTGATCCCAGGACCCTGGGATCATGATCTGAGCCTAAGGCAGACACTTAACGACTGAGCCACCCAGGCGCCCCTGTATTTTTTTTTTTTTTTTGAAGATTTTATTTATTTGAGAGCATGCATGTGAGGTTGAGGGGGCGGTGAGAGAAAACCCAGGGTAGGGGCAGAGGGAGAGGGAAAAGCCGGCTCCCCGCTGAGTAGGGAGCTTAAGGAGGGGTTCAACCCCAGGACCCTGGGATCATGGCCTGAGCCTAAGGCAGATGCTTAACTGACTGAGCCACTCAGGCGCCCCTTGTGTTTTGTATTTTTTTGTCAGAATAGCTGTATTAACTTCCTAAAAAGTTGTTATTATTTAATAATCATTGTCTTACAGGTTCACAGAACTTTATGTAGAAGAATTGGAAAGTAAAGAAGATTTACAAATTCTTATTGTGGATTATCTGAAAGGACTGAGTGTGAATAAGACCACAGTTCAAGGAATCATCAAGTAGGTTCTCTTTGGTTTCTCTTTATAAACTCTTCACCTGAACATAAAAATGTGTGCCTCATGCACATATATTACTTCTTTTTTTGCTTCTGACTAGAGAAGGATTATCATTAAGGTTTCTATTTTAAAGTTGGAACCTTATGAATTCCCATGGATTTTCCTAATGAAGCTACATTGAAAGCTTAAGAATTATCACCGATGAGAATATGTAAACAATTAGATAATGCTCTCCTAATTACTTTTGTATTCATAGCCAGGAGTTTGCATCCCTGGAATGTAAATGGCTTGTATTTTGATATGTCTTGATGAAATCTTACTTTTTGCAATTTGCATGCTAGTTATGTGGGATGCAGGGAGGAAAAGGTTGATACAATGAGTGATTTAGGTTTAGAATTGAGGCTTAGCTGAATAAAGTACAGATTGGCCGTGTGGCTTGATGCTTTCTTGAACCTTTTTTTTTTCTTCTTCTTCTTTTTTTTTTTTTAATGAGTGCATTTTCTAAACTGCAAAGCATTTTATTTTATATTTTTTTAAAGATTTTATTTATTTATTTGACAGAGACGCAGAGAGAGAGGGAACACAAGTAGGGGGAGTGGGAGAGGGAGAAGCAGGCTTCCCGTGGAGCAGGGAGCCCGATGCCGGGCTCCATCCCAGGACCCTGGGATCATGACCTGAGCTGAAGGCAAACACTTAATGACTGAGCCATCCAGGCGCCCCAAGAAAGAAAAACCAACAAGTAACACCTTTAAAGTAAAATGTTTTATTTTTTTATTTTTTTTTAAGATTTTATTTATTTGAAAGACAGTGTAAGCGAGAGAGCACAAGCAGGGGGAGCAGCAGAGGGAGAAGCAGGCTTCCCACTGAGCAGGGAACCCAGTACGGGGCTGGATCCCAGGACCCTGGGATCATGACCTGAACTGAAGACAGAAGTTTAACGACTGAGCCTCCCGGGTGCCTTGTATTTTAATTTTTTTTTAAAGATCTTATTTATTTGTCAGCATGCACGCACAAGCAGGGGGAGAGGCAGGCTCCCGCTGAGCAAGGAGCCCTATGCAGGACTCAATCCCAGGACCCTGGGATCATGACCTGAGCCGATGGCAGATGCATAACCAGCTGAGCCACCCAGGCATTCCTCTTGAGCCTTTATTTCTGTTTCTGGGCTTTTTTTTTTTTTTGAAAATTTTATTTATTTATTTGATAGAGAGACACAGAGAGAGCACAAGCAGGGGGAGCGGCAGGCAGAGGGAGAGGGAAAAGCAGGCTCCCCGCTGAGCAGGGAACCCGATGTGGGGCTCGACCTGAGCTGAAGCTTAACCGACTGAGCCACCCAGGCACCCCATGATTTTTGTGTTTTTTTTTTAATGCTTTGTGGAAAGGGCACAATCTTTTATATAGACAACCTGAATTCTAGTACGGGCTCTGTCAAAAACGAATGCTTTCATTCTGGGCACATCACTTAGTTAATTTTGTCTGTGTTGCCTAGAAAGAACTAAACAGTACGTAAAGGTTTTGAAATAGGATCATATTAATGTTTTACTTTGCATTTTGTGGTTTGTTCCCTTTTTTTGTACAAATAATTATTGAGTTGCCCAGGTGCTAGGGATATAGCTATAAATAAGATAAATATAAGTACGTTCCTCATGGAGCTTTTAATTCAAGAGGTGAAGATAATAAATAAGGAGCTACACATTATAATTTTTTTGAAGTGACTATAACCTCAAGATTTTATTTTCTTCATAATATAATAAAATATGAAGCTTAGAACTGGATCAGTTGGCCCTTTCTCTTCTTATCTCCTCCCAGTTCAAAATGCTTACATTCCTTAATAGCCAGCATTCCCTTAGATCTGCAGTTGGGCTCAACACATTCAAGCCTCAGCACAATCTTCTTGTAATTTTAATCTTTTCCCAGAAAATCAGCTTAGTCTGCCCACCATAGCCACTCTGCTTCCTGTCATAATGCCGCTTTCCTTGGGCATAAGGAGAATCTTTGCCTTTCTTGTACTGTGTCACTTTGTGGGGTTGGTTCTTGCCATACTTCTTGCAGAAATTCTGGTGGGTTTTAGGAATGTTCACCATGTTTGCAAGAGAACTATTAACACAGAAAGCAGGAGAAACATAATCTTAGGTTATGGTAAGTGAAGAAAAATAACACATAAAGCTTGGAGCCCCCCCCCCTTTTAAGATTTTATTAGAGAGAGCAGGGTGTGAGGCGGGGGAGAGGCAGGGGGAGAGAGAGGGCACGAGCAGGGCAAGAGACAGGGGGAGAAGCAGACTCCCTGCTGAGCAGGGAGCCCAATAGAGGACTTGATCCCAGGACCCTGGGATCATGACCTGAACTGAGGGCAGGCGCTTAACCAACTGAGTCACCCAGGCGCCCCAGTGGAGCCCTATTGTAGGTAAAGCAGAGGCTCTTGTAAAATGCTAATAGTATAAGTAGTAAGTGTTCCATTTGTAATAACCCCTTTTAAAATGTAGATTCTTTCTACAAAAGAAAGAATGTGTAGCTAGATTGCAAAGAGGCAAGTCAAATCTTATCGGGCAAGAACTTAGATTTCATCTGTGACACACATTTGGTTACTCTTGATCTTATGTAGCTGATCATGAATTTCAGGAAATTTTAAATTTCTTGCATTTCATGTTTCAGTCTGAAACTTCTTTCGTCTTGTCATCTTCTAGTATTCTAAAGTGTGTGGTAATGATAACAGTAACAGTCACCATATTTTCATGCTTTTTAACATTTTGTCATTGTTGATTATGGCCATACCTATGACCTTTCAAAACACCATGATTTTTTTCTGTGTGCTTCTCCATCACACAGGGACTTTATTTCCCTATTGTATTAGAGCTGACTCTGGAACACTGTGTTTGGACTCTGTGTGTATGTGTGTGTGTGTATCAATTTTTTTTTAAAGATTTATTTATTTTAGAGTGCACAGGGGTTGGGGGTTGGAGGCGCAGAGAGGGAGGGAGAGAGAATTTCAAGCAGTCTCCTCTCTGAGCACAGACCCCGATATGGGGCTTGATTCCACAACCCTGAGATCATGACCTGAGCCGAAATCAAGAGTTGGGCACTTAACAGACTGAGCCACCCACGTGCCCCTGGACTCTGTATATTCTTACTAAGGGCTTCTCCTATCTTACTGTCTTTTTGTTAAGAATCTGATGTTTTTCACCTCTCTCCTCTTTTCATCCTAAAGGAAATTGATATATCCTTCTTTTGAAAGTGTCTGTAAGTGTGTGAAAAATAGATTTTTTTTAAAAAGATTTTATTTATTTATTTGAGAGAGAGCGAGAGATAGAGTGCATGAGCAGAGGGGAGGGGCAGAGGGAGAAGCAGACTCCCCACTGAGCAGGGAGCCCTGGAAAATAGATTCAAAAGAGAATGTCTGAAAGGTTTTGATGAATGCTCTAGGAAATTGTATGTAAGCTTAACTGTCTAAAAATGGCTTTGGGCCTTGTGTAAAAAAATGGGAATAATGGCAAAATAGTGAATGCTTATTAGTTAATAAAGTCATTTGAACTCCGTCCTTTTTGTAGCTTGTACACAGCTCTGCGGAAAGACTCTGGGACAAAATTGGTGGATGGAACTGGCCATAGACCTCACTACAGCCTTCGGACTCTTTGCAGAGCTCTGCGATTTGCAGCTTCCAATCCGTGTAGCAACATCCAGCGCTCGCTCTATGAGGTCTTTCTTTTTTTTTAAAGATTTATTTATTTATTTATTTGAAAGAGAGAGAGAGAGCCCATGAGAGGGGGGAGGGTCAGAGGGAGAAGCAGACTCCCTGCTGAGCAGGGAATCCAATGCTGGACTCGATCCCAGGACTCCAGGATCATGACCTGAGCCGAAGGCAGTCGCTTAACCAACTGAGCCACCCAGGCGCCCCTATGAGGTCTTTCTAAAATCTGTGCTTGGGTGTGCTCACCATTGGATGGGAGGTTTTGGTGATGCAAATGTCAGGTTTGCCTGTGCATTCCATTTAGTCAGCTCAGCCCAGGACAAACCAGAGTGATCCTGCCCTTTTTCTACCATCATATCACATTTAAAAGTTGTTCTGGGAACCAGAACCCCCCAACAGGTTGAATTTTGTTCCTGAAATAAGTTGGCCTGTTATTGCAGAAGGGTAATTAGTTTTATGCATATTTGGTTTTTTTCCTAGGGCTTTTGTTTGGGTTTCTTAACACAGCTTGACAGGGCATCACACCCAATAGTTCAGAAGCTCATTTGTCAACACATTGTCTCTGGCAATGTAAAAAGTCTGCTGAAGCAGGTATGTTGTTTGATTTCTTGACTTGTTTAATGTAAATGAAAGGCTGAATTATCAAAATTTCATTTTTTTAACAAAACTTGTTTCTAATTATAAAAGTAATCAGTTTGTTCCAAAAAAAATTAGGTGGTGTCTTAGGTGGTGAAAATTCCCAAAATTCTTACTCCTACTCTTTAGAGATTTAAACCTTATACCTTTCCACCTAAATCATGTATGTATTTTGTTATATATTCAAATTCTCACAGTGTGTGTATAGATTTATCAAGGTAAATTCTTTCTTTTTATTTTAATTCCAGTATATTTAATATACAGTGTTATATTAATTTCAGGTATACAATATAGTGATTCAACAAATCTGTACGTTACTCGTTGCTGAAGCTAATTGTACTCTTGTTTCACCATCTCCCCACCCACCTCCCCTCTGGTAACCATCAGTTTGTTCTGTATTGTTAAGAGTCTGTTTTTTGGTTTGTCTTTTTTTGTTGTTGTTGTTCATTTTTGTTTCTTAAATTCCACGTATACGTGAAATCATATGGTATTTGTCTTTTCCTGACTGACTGATTTCACTTAGCAAGGGCAAATTCTAATACATACATCTAATATAAATGCCTTAAAAGGAACCATCTCATAATACTGTTCTGTAGCTTCCTTTCTTAGCCTAACTATATCCTACAGTTTTGTGTCTGTACCAGGGATCACTGTGACATGGTTTCTAGTGGTTACATAGTATTTTGTTGCTTATACCAGAGTTTGTATACACACTTGCCATCTGATTGATGGTTGGGCATGTTTTTTTCTTATTATTAAACACAACCACCATTTCAGTTTGACAAAGGAAATTCTAGAATAACATGGGAGTGAAAGATGCTGAGAAAGTGGTTTACCAACTAACAGGCTTGTTTTTATGTTGATTCCTTACTCTTAAGAAAGAACCTTATTAGAGACTTAGGATTACTTTGGATTCACCATCACCATCTAGAATGGGGCAGCATTTTTGGTGATAACCTCTTTTCCTACTTTACACCCTCTCTGAAAGAATGTCATAGTTGTCATGAGACTATGGGTTATTTCTCTAACTTTTTTGTCTTTCAGCCTATTCCAGAACCGAAAGGAGGCCGGCTTATCCAGATTGAAGGATACTGGATTTCGGTGGGAGAGAAGGAACCTACAATAGATGAGACCTACATTCTTACGTCTTCTGTTAAGCTAAACCTGAGAGACATAGTCCGAGTTGTTTCTGCAGGGTGTGTGGACCTTTTCTCTTGCTGCCCTGAAGTTTTACCAGCATAGGCATTGATGACATTCTAGTCTTACCTCCTTAATTTTAAAAGTGCTTTATTGTTGTTCATGGGCTAAGTAAATAATTCCTTCTCAAGTCAGTACTTCTCTCCTGGCACAAAGCATTGTTTCTAGTTGCACCTTTTGGTGGAAGCAATACAGATGCAGATTATTTTGGCCATCTTTAAGCTTGTTTGCCAGTATTTTGCTGATGGATACTCATCATCCATTATTTGAATAACAGCTAGTCCCATTTACTGTTTCTCACAAGTACTATAAGAAAGGTTGAGATTGCTTTCCTCAGTATTTTCTGAGGAACTCCTTTTACACAGAAACTTCTCAGGCCTAAGAAACATTCCATTAGTGGTGTATAGGTATATAAAAATGTTTTTTTATGGTGATAAATGATACATTCTTTTTAACACAACTTGAATTCTGGTTTCTGTCTTTTTTTTTCTTAAATTGCTTTATTGGCTGATCTTTCAAGAACCTATCCAGTGTTGATTCAGGGAGAGACATCAGTTGGTAAAACAAGCCTTATCCGGTGGCTGGCTGCAGCTTCTGGTAACCATTGTGTGCGTATTAACAATCACGAACACACGGATATTCAAGAGTACATTGGTTGTTATACATCTGACTCTTCAGGGAAGCTTGTGTTTAAAGAAGGTAGGATTATTATTTCATTCCATGGGTATAGGTGTTCATTCTTTTAAACCCATTTCCCCAGGTAAACTTCATCCTTTCCAATTGAGGCACATCCTTAACTGCTGGTTTGTCTTTCTCCCTGATCTCCCTGGTTAAGGGAGGATGGTTAGGGATCCAGCTTCCTTTGGGCCCCACTGATCTTGTCAGCTGTACAGAGGACTAGGACCAAGTTTTGTAGAGTGCAGTTGAACTGCTACTTTATTTCCTAGAGACTCAGAAAAATGTGGTGAGCATCGATCAGAGGGAAGCTGAGAGTAGATATGAGAATGTGGTGATTTAAATGAAATTAGACTGCAGGGGGAAAAATAAATTGGAAATGTGGTATTTGTCAGCCTTGGCTCCCCTTCTGTGTGAAATGATCAGGAAAATTATCCTTCCTTGATATTTGACATCACAAATTGTTTTGGCGCATGACTAGCTGCAGGGAGTAATTTGTTTTGAAATGTAATGGTCTAGGATTGGTTGATTTATATGTAACATTTTTTAAAACTTTGGACTAATTTCTGCACTAATCCTCAGTGTTGTTTTTTCTAAGGTGTTCTTATTGATGCTATGAGAAAGGGCTACTGGATTATTTTAGATGAATTAAATTTGGCCCCTACTGATGTGTTAGAGGCACTGAACAGATTGCTGGATGATAACCGTGAATTGCTCATCACAGAAACACAAGAAGTTGTTAAAGCTCACCCTCGGTTTATGCTTTTTGCTACCCAGAATCCCCCAGGACTTTATGGAGGCAGAAAGGTGTGTAGCATTTGTCCCTTATTTCCATTTGTTACCCCATAAAGTAATAAATCTTTCTTGGTAAGACAGATGTTTTTACTACTTTTGAAGGGTTTTTCTTTTTGTGGTGAATAGTAGAGCCTCCATTTTGGAAACTGGGTGAGAGGCTCTTTTTATCATGTTTTTTCCTGTGTGTTTCCTAGGTGCTTTCTAGAGCCTTCAGGAATCGGTTTGTGGAATTGCATTTTGATGAATTGCCTAGTTCTGAGTTAGAAACAATCTTGCATAAGCGCTGTAGTTTGCCACCCTCCTATTGTAGCAAGTTGGTTAAAGTCATGCTGGACCTTCAGGTATTTCATCTCTCTCTCACTTAGTTTCAAATGGAACGTACTGATTAGATTTCATGATGGAAATTTAAAATTTGATAGCCTTCTCAGGTAGACATAGCAGTCCCTCCATTTTTTTTTTTCTCAGAGTAAGGATATTATCTTAAAATGCATTCCATTAGTATCCATTTTTTGGTTTGTAAGTGAACTGTTTGATATTGTGTTACGGTTTTTCTCATAGTCATATATGGCAACAATTCTCTACTTGTGGATAATTTTGGAACATTTTGTTTAGATTGGAATTTGGCATTGATAAACTACAATTTTTGTTTTTTAAATGGATCTAGTCCTTGAATGGACATAACTAAAGATATCCTTTTTATGTCTCTCCCTTGTCAATTCTGCAAAGCTACAGTTTCTTAGTTTTTTGAATATCCCATTTTATGGTATCCTTTATCAGAATTAATATACTTTTAATTTCTAAAAAGCCAGTAATAATTGGCAGTCTTACTACTGTGTTCCCACATTATAGGATTGATGTTTCTGCGTGTTTGCCATCATTTGTATTCATAATTTTTTATATATGATATAAGAAATAGAATTCCTTTCTTTTGTTGTTGTGCTTTGGAATTTATATTTTTAAACACAAGCTTGGATATTTATCTTCAAATGATTGCAGTCCATTTACTTTTTTAAAAAATTAGTCTTAATGGAATGAATCATTTTTATGGGAGCATAAATTTGTTAAAAATTTTATATAAGTTGTACAGTGTGCTTGCCATTGCCCTTTTTCATTTGTTTTGATATTTTAATAGTCCTATCGCAGAAGTTCTTCAGTGTTTGCTGGAAAACAGGGCTTCATCACCCTTCGTGATCTGTTTCGATGGGCTGAAAGATACAGATTGGCTGAACAGACCGAGAAAGAGTATGACTGGCTACAGCATTTAGCCAACGACGGTATGCTTTCAGTTGGATGGTCTCAAACTGTGAAGTTATGTCAAATATCAAACCTTATTAAAATAAATCTTTCCCAAATTGTGGTCAATATATACATTTTACTGAGTATTCCAAAAGTAGTCTTTTTTCCTCAAGAGCCAGATGCTTTTGAAAATGGTTCTTTTCTGCAGGCCTCTGTGCTAGTATGTTTGGGTTTCAATAGTTTTCTCTTTGCTTCAGGTGGCTTCATGTAGGAGTCAGATAGGGGCACAATGCCCATATAAGAGTTTTGGTGGGTAGTTGGTGGTGTCTTTGTGGACTATTTATCTGCAACTCACTAATCATAGATAGTCATCCTTGTGCCTTATACAGAAAACTGTTGGGGCGCTTGGGTGGCTCAGTTGGTAAGCATTTGCCTTCGGCTCTGGTCATGATCCCAGGGTCCTGGGATCGATCCCTGCATCTTTTCCTTCTTCCTCTACCCCTCCCCCTACTTGTGCTTGCTTGTGCGCTTGGGTGCATGTACTTTCTGTCAGGTAAATAAATAAAATCTTAAAAAAAAAAAAAACTGACAGGTTGGTCAGGTACTATCGTAGTTCTGAGGGAAGGCAGTTATGGCATGTGAGACTCATGATTGCTCATTTTGGTTTAATCCATGGGAAGAATTTATATGTTTCTCTATAGGAAAGAAAGCATTTCAGAATCTTCTGATTTGAAAGGTACTAATGAGTCCTTAATGGAGTGGTTAATAAGGAGAGTAAATAAAACTAACCCATGAGAGTTGTATTTTTTTCTTTACTGGTAAAGAGTAGATAGATGGAGGAACATGTTCTTTTAAAAAACTTAAAACACTCTTTAATCAAGGTATACCATATAGTAAAGTGAATGTAGTGCTTTATTTTTTTCATGTATAAGCTAGATACAGTTTTTTTTACATATGTGTGTACCATGTAAATCATCATCTAGGCCAAAGTATAGAATATTTTCCAGTACCTCAAAAGATTCCTTCATGGTTCCTGCCAGTCTTAACCTCCCCTGGAGGTAACCACTGCTCTGACCTCTATCACCACTGATTTTTGCCTGTGCTTGAGCTTCAGCTAGTATCATGCAGTGTGTACTCTTTGGGTTTGACTTCTTTTCACCCAACCTAATGTGAGGTTCGGCCATGCTGTTATGTGTATTAGGAATTTATTCTTTTTTGTATTATTGTTCTGTAACCCATTGTATGGAGATACTATAATATGTTTATTCATTCTCTTGTTGGTGGACATTTGGATTATTTCCACTTTCTAGCTATTATGAATAGAACTGCTCTGAACATTCCTATATATGTCTTTTGGTGCACACATGTTCATTTGTGTTTGGGTCTACCTGGAAGTCCTGTTGCTGGGCACAGGGCAGGCATGTGGTTAGTTGCAGTAGGTTCTCCCAATTTTCCAAAGTAGTTCTTTAGATACCCTCTCCACCAGCACCTAGTAAGAGTTGCTGTTGCTCCATATTCTCAATATCCCTTGGTATTATAACTTGACACTTAATGATTTTTTTTTTTTTTTAAGGATTTATGCTTCTCGCAGGCCGAGTCAGGAAGCAGGAGGAGATTGATGTGATTCAAGAGGTCCTTGAAAAACATTTCAAGAAAAAATTGTGTCCTCAATTCCTCTTCTCCAAGGAAAATGTCCTAAAATTACTGAGTGAGTAGGTCAAAATATCCAGAGGAAATGAATTGAGCTGTACTATGAGAAGCTAAATCTTTATTCTACATTTTATAGGTAAATTGTCCACTCAGGTATCCACATTGGAGTCTACGTTCAGCCACATTGTGTGGACTGAGGGCATGCGGAGACTGGCGATGCTGGTGGGAAGGGCACTGGAATTTGGTGAACCAGTGCTGCTGGTTGGAGACACTGGGTAAAGTCCTATGCTTCTGTGACAGTAACTCATTATGATGATTCAGTTCAGTTCCATAGGAGTACTTGAGTTATCTGTGAAGGATTATCGGGAATGCAATCTTTGTTGTTGTTGTTGTTGTTTTTTTCCTTTTCTCCCTTCCGCTTTTTCTTTTTTTTTTTTTTTAAGGATCATGCAAGAGACCTATTACTGTTTGCTTTCCTCTTCAGGTGATAGAAAAGAATGAATTCTTGCATTATTATCACTGGAGTTGTTTTTTTCTTTGTAATTCTTTTAAATAGTGCCATTCATTCTATAGATCTGTAGAGAACAGCAAATGAGCTCCTGTCTCTTGAAAGTCTGTAAGGATTAGATTTCTTTCCCATCCCTTGGTGGTTGTTGGTAGAAATAGAAAAGGATGGAATTCAGGCAGTGTGTGCTTTTTTGGATAAGGAACACCGTAGGGTGCTGGTGTTTGGGGGAAGGGTGTCCTAAGCTCAGGGTGCAGAGGCCCTGTGTTGGCCAGCAGTGTCTGCTGCTGCAGTGAGGCTCTCACCAGAGCACTCCTCTTGTGCTGACAGGAGTGTTTGTGCTTTTATATTTGGAATTTATGGTCCTTATTAATCTGGTATGTATCCCTTTAACAGGTGTGGGAAAACTACGATCTGTCAGGTGTTTGCAGGCTTGGCAAATCAGAAACTATACTCTGTCAACTGCCATTTACACATGGAGACATCGGACTTCCTGGGGGGGCTGCGACCGGTGAGACAGAAGCCAAAGGACAAGGTTTGTTCAGTAGCGAATAATGTGTTCATCGTTCATTTAAAGAATTGCAGTTGGATTTGTGCGTGAGTCAGCTGTGGAATTTATTCATGGTGAGGTTTTGATCCCAGATTTGATATATATCTTTAGATTTTCACTTGTCCACAAGGAACTTTCATGAGCATACTGTTGTGCAGGCTTTATTCCGAATGACCACTTACTCCAGCAGACACCAGCTAGCTACATGTGTATTGTCTTGTGGAGCCACTGCTCATTAATTTCACACCTTCTTTTCCAAATTGTAGGAAGAAACTGATACATCAAGACTTTTTGAGTGGCATGATGGTCCTCTTGTTCTGGCCATGAAAGAAGATGGCTTTTTTCTCTTGGATGAGATCTCATTGGCTGATGACTCTGTCCTGGAAAGACTCAATAGGTATATGTGTAAGAGGTTTGCCCTGTGTGTGATGTTTTCACTGGTCTGGTTATTTTTTAATTAAGCAATTAAAAAAATTTTTTAAATTTTTAAAAAAATTTTTAATTAAAAGTTCCCATGTAGTTAACATGTACCATTATATTAGTTTCAGGTGTACAATATAGTGATGCTACAATTCTATGCATTACATAGTGCTCACCATGATATGGCTACTCTTAATCCCATTCACCTATTTCACCTATCCCCCCACCTGCCTCCTCTCTGGTAACCACCAATTTTTTTCCCCTATGGTTAAGAGTCTGTTTCTTGGTTGTTCTCTTTTTTTTTTCTTTGTTCGTTTGTTTTGTTTCTTAAATTCCACATATGAGTGAAATCATATGGTATTTTTCTTTGACTTAGCATTTCACTTAGCATTCTGCTCTGTAGCTCTATCCATATTATTGCAAATGGCAAGATTTCATTCCTTTTTATGGCTAAATAATATTCCATAGAATATGGAATACTGGTCTGGTTTTCATAGATATTAATTCTTCTGCACAGTAATGTTCTTCATAGGTGCCTAGTAAATGTTTGAAAATGATAATGAGTTACTGTTTTTGTTTTTGTTTTTTTTTTGTTCATTTTGCTTTAGCACTCAGAGTAGTTTAAGAGGGCTAGTTTCTGTTTCGCTATCAATAATCAGAAAGATGGGACTGTGGAATGGCGTGAGGCTAAAGCAAATGAACCGAAGTTAAAACTCTTTTTTAAGGCACTTTATGTGACCATTATCTAAATTCTTCAAAGAACTAGAATCAGAATTCTAGATGTTATATTGGCTGTATGACCTCAAAATCTCAGACTAATATGAATTTTGATGTATACCTATTTTTCTTTTTTGAAGTTTAATTTACATACCATAAAATGTATGCATTTTATTTTATTTTTTAAAAGATTTTATTTATTTATATGACAGAGAGAGACAGCGAGAG